TTGAATTTGTAGATCTGACACATCTACTGGAATAATTGTTTCACATCTAGCTGGAATAGTTGTGACGTCATCTAATTTTGATGTAATTTCCCCTTTTCCTACGTCAATGACAATTTGATTCTCCGTTAAAAATGGTTTTCCCAAAATACCATCGCCTATAATTGGAAAATTTGTCGGAACTACATGAAATTCACTTTCGGAAGATTGATTTCCATTTATGACTGTCAACATTGTAAATCCCAGGGTCTTAACTGTTTGATCATTTATCCCCTGTAACATGAATATTTTTGTGTCTGATACTTGAACATCATCGTGAAGAGCACCTAGTTTTATTAAATTAAGATCAGCTCCTGTGTCTACAAGTAGCTTTACGATATATTTTGTACATTGTGGAATTTTATATAAAGCATGATTATCAATTAATTTGATTTTGAATGACAAGGTTCTTGCAGGTTTAAGGCTATTGTTTTTAATGTTTTGACCGATTGGTTGCCCGAGCCACTCGGTCTTGGCCCGTTTCCCGAAAACTGTCCATTGGATTTATTTGTTTTTTTCTTTTTGTAACATACATCTTCGGAGTGTCCCGGTTTATTACAATAAGCACATGTTATCTTTTTCACATCTTTATTATTTGGATTTGAATGTACTTTTGATTGAAAATTTTGTTGGCCAGTATCTTGACCGCGATTTCCATATCTGCATTGATTTGTAAAATGATTATTACGATTGCAAATTTCGCAATACTTTTGATTGTTATTTCTGCCTTGGTTTCCTCCTTTAAGTATTCGTTGAGTCTCTTTTGATGATTGATAAATTTTCTGCTCTTCAAGACTTGCCTTCATTGCATCTTCCAGTGTTTCAAAGTTTCTTGATTTAATCACTGTTCTTAAATGAGGTAATAATCCTTCTACGTACGTCGTTAAAGTAATTTCTTTTATATATGTACGTATTGCTGTGGCATCTGTGGTTGATTTTCCCTTTGTGCTCACATTACATAATTCATTGAGTAGATTTTCAACCTTTGTAGAGTAGTCATGAACTGACTCTCCTTGAGACTGTCTTGTTGATGTAAGTTCAAGTTGTAGATATCCTGGTGTACGTTTAGCACAAAAGTTTGATTCGAGTAAATGTTTAAGTCCTGCCCAATCTTCTACATCACGATGTTGAGTTATCGCAAAAGCTTTTTTACTTAATTTTGTACGAATAGCTTGTAACAAAACTGGCTTTATGTTGTTATCGACATTAGACATTACGAAATCACATGCGCTAAGATAAGGATAGATATCAGCTGAATCTTCACCATTGAAAAAAGGAACCAATTTAATGGCTGTTTCTAATGAAAGAACTGTATTGTTCATTTTGGAAATGGTACACGAATTATCCACCCCCAAAAATTTTAAACCGAGTAGTTCGGTATTTTTATTTATTTGTTTTGGTGTATTTTCTTCACCTATTTGATCCGAAGGTACTGAAGTTGAAATATTTCCCCTAGTATCAGAGAATAATGATTCTACACTTCTAGATTTCCTATGGTATCTTTTATTTTGGTGTGCTCGTGACCTAGTATTTGGGCCAGTATATTTTAAATTATCGTCAAAGTTATTTGATATAGGAGTATTATAACCTTTATTTACTGTAGATGTATCTGGGCTCCTATCACTGCTACTATTACCACTACTTGATTGAGTAGACATACATTAAAAGTGTTAGTTTGTTATTATAGTGTATAATAACAACAAAACAAAACGACAATAATAATAAAAAAAAATTACAATTATGTTACTATGTCAGTAGGTCAAGATAAAATAAAAAATACAGTAATTTTATTCTATTATTCAAGTTAGTGATAATAATATTATTATAATATAAAAATATTTATGTTATTATTTTTTTTTTTTTTACTTACAGTATGACGGTCTTTGTTATTACTCCGAACTGCATAATAATTGACTTCTTTGACAGATTATCTGGATCCCTTGTTGAACTCGCCACGTCTCTCGGTGTCGTTCCCACGTAGTCTTCAAGTTATTTCGTTTGAAGTTCTACGCTCCGAAACCGGTATGCGCGGAGACCACACTGGTGGGTTTTGTTTAACTTGAACGATTAATTAATTTCTGTTTACTAATTAATCGATGTAGACGAGATGTAGTGTAGCTTATCGTATAAATGTGCGTATTGGTATTGACAATAGGCGTTGATTGTGTATTTATAATGAACGATAAAATATGGTGATCCCGTTTTTTACGTAGTTGGTATAAAACAAGTAGCACCTCCTACGGTGTATTTGTAGATGCGTGTGACGTAAATATCGGGGACTATAGAATAGTTTCCTCACCAATCTTTAGGTAAAAGCGCCTCCGTATGAATATATTCACTCGTGTTCACTTTTTTTTTATTTATAATAATTATTTGAATATATCACTCACTAGACAGAATTTCTTTCACAGAAAAGAAAATGAAAACGGCTACCGCTGCCACCAATGTTATGAACGCCACTGCGTATGCCTGTGATGTTCTGTTATATTTTATATTGTGTCTCTGGTTGTATCCGAAGACGACAATTTGTTGAAACCGTTCTCTGTGTAGCGGGTGATAATCAAATGTTGTTTAATAGTTTATTAATAAAAAGAATACACGTTTTAGATTTATATGAGAATATTATACTTTATTAGTTTTAAAAAATATGATTTATACTACAAGCTCACTACTTAGCTCGAATGAGTCGAGTTCTAGACTGAATTGCCGACAGGACCGATACTACAGTCTTGTCGCGTATTAGCAAAATATCTAAGATAAGACGCCTACATACAGGCGTTATTATATTCTGTAAAACAAGCGTCTCTATAGTCTCTATAGTGGTGGGCATATAACAGTTTGAAGAATTTTTTTTTTACTTTAAAAAGTATCTTCAGACACAAAAATAACAAGACAAGCAGCTGATATCATTGTAAACCAAATACATGCAACGCTCTGCTCAAAATCTAAAACTGTGGGTGAGCTTACCTAAAACTCTTAAATTAATTATTTTCAGTGAATAAAAATTAAATTTCTTAAAACATCATTAATTTTATATGAATTTATTTAAAACAATAATTCCATGCTTGATTTTCCAAGGTTACTTTTTAAAAAACTAAAATACATCATAGGTAATTGTTAGTTAAAAAAATCATTATTCTCTTATACAGATAATATTCAGACATCACCATTTGGAGATGGACCAATTTTATACCAGTAAATATCTAATGTAAATACATAAAAATGAACTATTTATTATTCAAGACATTATATAGTTTCTTAACTTTAAAAGTAAAAAACGGAAAAAAAGATTAGGCCTAAGTTATTTTTATTTTTTTCTTAAATTATATTATATTTTTATTTAATTTTATAAACTAAGTGATTAATTGAGGACACCCTTTATTTTGTCTAATACTTAATGCAGTTTGTCAAAATCTGATTTTTGGAATTTTTTTATTACAGAAAGGTAGGTACTTATTTTAAGATAACCATATTTTCGAATTCTTGAAATTTTTTATACCTACTACCTTCCATTTAAGGAGTGTCTTGTGGCGATGCAAACTTCTACATTTCTAAAAAGAACCGTCCCTTTTTACTGTAAATTACTTGCCAAATATTTTTTTTTTTAAATATTAATATCTAAATCAAAATTTGAACAAAAATTTTAATAAAACCATTAATTACATTATATAATTAATATTTTATAAATGGTTAAGTTCTCACAAAAAGTAATTCATAGTACTATTAGTACTTACTTACAGGGCGGGATTGATATGTATCGGCCCATTGAGATTTTCACATCTATAAGCGGCCCATTTACATATTCGGTGGCCTAAAATTACGTCTATAATTATTACGAGCTTATAGGTGGCCAATCGTATTTTAAACATGAATTTTTTTTCACTCACACTCTCAAGACCGGCTAAAACTTTAAGCGACCCACCGAGATTTTCTCTGTAGCTCACCTAACCAATCCGGTTCTGCTTACTTAAACATATTAGGTCCGAACACTTAACACACCAAAATTCGTTGACTGTGATTTTGAATATTTAATATTTATCACTTGGTTGTTATCACGTGTTAACTATCAAACTGTCGTGGCCATACCCATTTATAATAGGTCAATGGGTCATACAGTATGACCACTAACATTGAAATTTGAAAACAAAAATTATTTATTAAATTAGATATCAAGTTCATATTTTGTTCAATTTGTTGACGTTGTTCAATTACTCCATAGAACAATATTGAAGCGACACTCGATCAGCTGATTGAGGTCTTGTTTACCTATGATCTGAAGTCTGAACCTCCGAAAAACACGGAAACGATTACCAATATGATGTTAGACCCGAAGGTGGTACTATGTAAACCTTTACCGGAACGTAGACGGGAAGCACTACGCGGGATCGGCTTGTTTACCATTCCTTATTTCACGTATGCCACTCCCCCCTGGAGACAGTGTTCAAGGCCAGAATCACCGGATCCAACCAATTCATGGAGTGTCGTACCCCTGATTACTGGCGGGTCGAGGGCATGAACCATGAAGACTAGAGAAAAGGAGGCCAAACTCTAACCCCGAAAAACGTCCCTTAAAACATAGAGCACTAATGTCACCACCAGTTTGCGTGGGGGTCAAATCCGAGGCTGGCTCGGAGTATAATTAACCCATATTAGATAGGGACATACTTGACTTTATTTACCTTTAAAAAATTATAATTTAAATTATAATTACACCATTTAGTGTACGGGAACGGTAGACCGCCGCGACGATGTATAAATGTCCCATCACAAGCCCCACATAAAAATCGTTAGAAAGCTAAATTTCTCGAAAGTTGAATTCGTTTTTAATATCTTATATTTTGGTTGGTCTATAAATGAACATAGTATACAAGCCGGTTAAAGACTTGTCCGGCGGAAAAACATAGTTGGACACGAAAAGTTCGCCGACTAGATAACGTGTGCAAATCAAACGTAGCGGTAACCGCTCAAACGCCGCAACAAAACATGCGACGGATGATTAGCTTCGTCCTTCTCCAAAGTGTGGTGCGTTTTTTAGATTTGACCGTGGGATCGTCCACGGCTGCCACCGCCCGGCTTGCGTCGCTGTCACCGCGACCGCTGTCACCGGTATCCGGTTCCAGTTCTGCCTGACCGGAAGGCGCCGCGGAAAAGGTTGGCAGTTCTGACTCGGTCTCGTCTCGTCTTGTCCGGTCATCTGATGGCGGCGGGACTTCCGGAGCCCCGACAACGTTGCTCGGGATGAGCACAAGCGGACGGTCGACGGACACTGACGGGCCAGCGCGGTGTGGTGACAGCTGGATTTTCCGGTAAATAGGCGCAGTCGGCTGCAGGTCGACCAAATCGAGGCCCATCGACTGGGCGTCAGACGGCTTACGGTTGCTCTCTGCCTGCGGCTGTTCCGACGTGGCGGTGACGTCTGCTTTAGCATATGTTTGTCCTCGGCAAAGTACGATGACGTTTGCAGGCGTGCAGGTGGCTAATCGCGGATGGTCCGGTCAAGTTTGGCTCGGACTGGTATCGGCAGCTAATCGCGGATGGTCCGGTCAAGTTTGGCTCGGACTGGTATCGGCAGCTAATCGCGGATGGTCCGGTCAAGTTTGGCTCGGACTGGTATCGGCAGCTAATCGAGGATGGTCCGGTAACGTACCGACTAAACTGCAACAGCGTCCGTTCAGGAACGTGGAAACTTGCCGCTCGCAATTCGGAAAATACGCTTTGCATCACTTCCGTCTCAGTCGACTGCAAGTTAACGGATTGGTTTTCTGGGCAATTCATCATGATCATACTAGAATATAATATTATAATGTAGCTATAAGTCAAACACGACAACTGATATTATATTATAATACAATACGCACGATGTATTAATTTGATTAGCTGATAAATAAGAAATATTGAATTGATGGACAATAAAACATTATAATAGTACTGTACTATTACAATCTATAGCAACAAGATTTTTGTTGATTTTTAATAGGCTAGAATAAAATATATTATAAGACACCTACTCTATTCCATATTATTAAATGTATGAATTTGAAATTTTTGAAAATGCAAAAAAATTAAAGTTATAACATTACGAAATTATATAATACGTTGTAGATAGAAACTATGAATATTCCTTATTCTAGCTCCAATAAAATTGGTAATTGTTAATTGTGTAAGGAATCCAACTTACCATAGTTATTAAAGAGCAGATAAGATCTTTACAATATCATTATAAACAAATTCAAAACCAGTTTTTTTTTTTCTTCATATAACTTTAGCAAATTTTAGGTGGGACCTATATTACGAAATACACGACGTGTGATACTTAAATAGTAATTATATTATTATCGGGCATTATCCTATATTATTCAGGTTAAGATTGAACCCATTTCGAGCACGTAGATTTTGGCGGCGTCTGACCCCCAGGCGATCGCTGAGCTTTCTTGGTTGACACAATCATCATCATTGTTTCTTCGGTACTCGCCGTTATTGTTGTCGGTGCTGCCGCCGTGTATACAGTGAATAATACACAAAATATTATAATTATTGTGCCTCATCAGTGTTAATTAGCGGTTAATAATAGACACCTCGTCTTTTAACCTATGATCAGACTGGAATATAATTTATCAAATACGCCAACATAATAATATGGTCAGTATCATATATCTACCAAAGGATAGTAAAAAATACGTCTTTATACACCTAACCAGACGTTGTTGTACCTACCTACATAATATTATGAAGAAACGGAATTTTGCCGATACCTTGAAATATTAATGTCGTATGACCGGCGTCGTCGTTATAGATGGTATATATATAGTCAGTATACTGACTGTATAAACTTTATGCAAAGCGTACCTTTCTTGGGTACCTAGTACCTACCTAATTGCTACTTACTATCACAGATAACAATATAGAAGCGACACTCGATCAGCTTATCGGGTCTCTGTATCCCTACGGTATGAAGTATTGGAGTCTAAAGTAACTTTGTTGTACCCATGAACATTAGAGGAAGGACGCCGAACACAGCAGAACGAAGAGTAAAAACATGGTCCAGAATTATCGCATTCCGCCAGAATGCGCGTCGGACCGTAATGATGTCGTTTTTACATGTATAGCATAGGAAATTTAATGGTTTTTTATTATTATAATCTAAATGGTGAAATTTATGAATAATTACTATGGAACATTTTTTTAAAACCAAATTGCCCTCGATCGAATATATGTGTTTCCAATAATATACGACTTTTATAAAAAGAGATATAGTTGTTTTAAAAAATACATTCGAACTTTTTATACACAATAATATAGATATAGGTAATTTAATATCGATTCATTTTCATGCGTTTTATTACGATTCACTCTTCGCTGTCGCCCGTCACCAAATACTAGCTATAATCTATATCTATTGTATTTGCTGCCTACGACTTACGATTGTATGTCAGGCGTCTGCATAATAAGCTAAAGCCTCAAAGTCTCAATTGATCTCCATATATCCATAATCCATTGTTTTATTTATTATTCCTTGCCATTTATTCATCTTAATTTTCGATTTGTAGCCCTCTCGACATCCAGGAACAAAACAGTTTCTGGACATTTTTTATTATATAATATGTACCTAATTACTAATAAATAGTAGTAGGTTCTCCAGACGACCAGACCTCCAGTAACTAATTGTCTAATCAGAAACACATTGTCATGTAACCTGCATAATATAAATAATATATAATTAATTTTATTCTTGTGAGTTGTGATAAGACGCAATCTTCAATACCATCACAGAACAATATTATATATTGATACTATATTGCCTATTGATATATTATGTATAAAAAATTGGAATGTATTTTTTAAAACAACTATATCTTTTTTTTATAAAAGTCGTATATTATTGGAAACACATATATTTGATCGAGGGCAATTTGGTTTTAAAAAAATGCTCTATAGTAATTATTCATAAGTTACACCGTTTAGAATATAATATTAAAAAACCAATAAATTCCCTATGCTGTACATGTAAAAACGACATCATTACGGTCCGACGCGCATTCTGGCGGAATGCGATAATTCCGGACCACTTTTATATACACAGTTCGGCGTCCTTCCTCTAATGTTCATGGTTGTACCCACGGACTAAGATAATATTATGGAATGGAAACGAGCAGCTTATCAGTGGAAAGTATGTACAAGAGGCAAATCATAAGCAATCGCAATCATAATTGAGAGTTTACAGCGCCATCTGTATAAAACACGGATTGAGATACAAAATATGAAGCTAAATAAAACCACTGGTAGCGCTGAAAGCTTTCAATTATGGCTTAGACCCCAAGCCCCCCCAAATCGGAGCCTATGCCACGCCCCCTCCAGAGACCATTATCAAGGCCACATTCACCCGATTTGGCCATAACACACAGTGTCTATGCCCTGCTACCGTAATACTTAACTACTCGCAGCGGTATATTGTAATCTTCTGCCGTACCTACCTATATAATATTGAGAATTGAGATCGATAAATAATTTAATGGTAGGTATAGGTAGACCCTTACAATATGCAAATGTATAACAAGAAATATAAATTATAAATCATGGTTTTTTATTGCTCACAAATCAAATAGAGAGTGTTCAATCTAGTCATATTATACAAAATACAAACAATAAAAAAAAAAAAATAATATATACAATATTGGTACGTAGGTACAAATATTTTTTTAAAATAATAATAAAATAAAACAATTAGTCAGATGTAATGCTGGAGTCGTCTGAGGATGTATCTCCGTTTGTCGTCGTTACAGTTTCTGCTTCTAAAATGTCATCTACAATGTAATCAAGTTTCCAAAGTTTGTCTTCTTCTGCCTTCGTCTGACTGATAAAACTCTTCCACATATTTGGCTTCACACGTTCGACGCCCTCAATTAATAATTGTTTGACATCAGTTGTTTTAAAAGTTGTATTATTCATACTTACATAATTTTTGACCAATGGCCAAGCCAATCCAATTGCGTTAAGCTCGCAATGATATGGCGGTATTCTTAGTATGATACAATCATATTGTTTTGCTAGTTCGTCAATTACATATTTATCATGAAGCGGCTTTACCTTTTTCACCATTAAAAGGAGTTCTGGGATAACCATGGGTCTGTCTATAGTTACATTTTTATCCTTCAACCAATTAATAATATCAGCCTTCTCGGTTTTCAACGTAGGTGCTTTGTCAATCTTTACTGAATGATATGATTCATTGTCCATGATTACCACACAATTCTTTTTTAATCTGGGCAATACACTCTCCATCCAACTGTTGAATATTTCGGCATTAATTTCATCGTGAAAATCCCTAGTTTTCTTTTTCGACTCAAAACATAATAATGCGTCGGGAACAAAGCCGTCTTCGGAACCTATGTTGAGAACTATAACACGTTTATCTTCTCCCGATGCATTTACAGCAGCGGTTGTTTGACCTTTTAATTGTGCGTCCCATGGTGATTGTATTGTGCATTCACCGACATTTATACAGGTTTCATCCAAGTAATATAAATGCCGACCCTCTTTTTGGTATTTTCGTATATCTCTAAGAAACCGTCTACGCCACAAAACTATTTCACTTTTTTCCGTCAGTGCACCGTTTCCGCTTCGTTTACTGTACCTAAAACCCATATCTTTTAAAAGACGAAAAAGGCCGGTCCGTGAGATGGGTGGTAAAGAATCGTCGTCAGAAACCGCTTGATATATTTTGTCGACTATCGGAATTTCACGATTATACCAAAAACTGTGCACGTGCCTACGAACCAGATTTCTTGCGAACTCGTCAAATATAATGCGGGCGGATATCTTAACCCGAGTTCTATTTGGAGATATCACAGTTTTCGAACGGTTGTATACCATGATTGTTTTTGAAATTGTAGTTGATCCAATGCCTAGTTCTTTAGATATCTCTTGCCGGAGTGTTCTTATAGTCTTTTCCGGATCTGCCTCCAATTTTGCTTTGTACGCATTAATTATCATTAGTCTTTGACTAGAGTCTACTCGCTGAAATTGAAATAATATATTATTATAAATACAGCATATTATAATATAATCTAGGACAATAAATAAAAAATTAAAACCAAAATATTTTTGTCTAGTGAGGGGAGTTTTGCAATAAATTTAAGGGTGGATATCCAAAACGTCCTACTGCCAAAATACTGATTTTTTAGGAGAAGCGATTTTCCGTATCTTAACATTTCCAATAAAAAAAAAACCATTTATAACCAGACAAATCATTTTGAAAAAAGGTTTTTTTAATTATTTAATAATATATTATTTTTATTTAAAACGATTCAAATGTGTTAAATATTCTAGAGTTACATTTAAAATTTGAACTTAAATTAAAATTTTTTAAATTACATTTTAGTAAGTTTTGGAATAACATTTTTATTTCCCTATATATAGGTATACCGTATACGTACAAGACGTGTAAAAGCATGACAACATTTTGTCATGGGTAAAAGTATGTTTTGGCATAACATAAAAAATAGTACGTTTTGATATTAATGATTTGTTCCTATTCTTTTAACATGGGCAATAGTACGTTTTGGCGTAAAACTGAAAAAAGTACTTTTTTGTTTTCTAAATATCATTTTTATGTATGGAAAAGGTTCGTTTTGGATTAATCAGTCATTTTGAATCGCAGATTTGACCAGGAAATAGTACGTTTCGATCGGAGTTTTTTTTAATGATTTATTCTGACTGCACAAACTTATTCCCACTCTTGGGTTGTAGTAGGGAATTTGTTTATGCAGAACAAATCCTACAAACTGTTATCTGTTGAACTTTCAGGGGCCTTAGGCCCTAGAACCCCCCTCAAAGCTGTTTTTCTAAACAATTTTATACTGTTAAAAACAAAATTACAAATAAAAATCATAGACATTTTCTGAAAATTATGACTTGGTAACCCCCTTATCATGTCTCTGGAACTGCCCCTGTGAACAGTGCCGGCTATACTACCTAGTAACTACTAACCAACTGTATACTGTATAATCTAAATTTTTAGTTTCATAAGACTGCATATAGGTACTCAGAAACAATATCTAAAAACATATAAATTCCTACTGTCTCATGATATACCAAATAAATCATTTTATATTAATGAACAATGTTTATTGTAAATTTGTTAATACTAGTAATTATTATAAAATTTTATTTGTAAATATAAGTCATAATACTTACTAAGTAATATTTACTTGAAATAGGTAATTTGTAATAATAATTGTTTATACAAATAAAAACAATTAATTGACTAGTTACCTAATTCTTTATAATTTTTGTAATATACTTTTACATCAAATAATAGTCAAAATGATAATTTTGACTGAATCAAAATGTGTCAAGACCACTACAACTTTTACAAAGAAAAATTGTTAGGATATGTTTAAGTAAAAATACTTTAATTGGTTCAACTAAAGAAAACTTTAAGTTACATATTAGATGTGTTACCGTTTGAGTCTGTATATAAAAAAAACAACTATTGTACATAGTTAAAAACTTTAAATCCTTTCTGGATATGAAAAAGATAATAATTAAAAGAAAAATAAGGGACTTTTATGTCAGAATGGACTGAAAGTTTGGTCAGAAATTCATTGATTATCTAGATCCAAAAAAACTACAATTTAATGCCAGTAAATATAAAAAGGGACAAATTCTATACAGAAGAGAATCGTTAAACTATAGAAATAAAAAAAAATTAAAATTTTGTTATATTCAATACTTGAATAAATAATAAGGAATTATAGGTAGGTATATTCAACTGTTGTAATTTAATATTAGTTATAATTATTCTAATTGTATAGATTGATTAATCAGTTCTATTCCGCTTTTCTTATTTATAATTAAAGTGTTCATATTATGTTATATAACTCCCTACCACCACCACAAGCATGTGCTTAAAGGGGGTAAATATTTTGTTTTTGTTTTAAAAAAATAGTATAATAATGAATAATACCTATAAACACTTTTTAATTTTAATAGAAAAATCTTTTTTTTATTTTGAAGTTTACTCAATATTATTGTTTTACAATATACAATAAAATATATCATCCTGAAATTCTTTTTTTGCACTACACTAAGTAGCAATGTCCACTGCACAATTACTTTTGTCACTGCACACTAAAAAAAACTCTGATTTCGATCTATTCTGACGACACTAATCGATGTATCCATATTTTTTCCATAAGAATCGATACCTAACTCGATCTCGTCAATTTTGGCAATAGTACGTTTTGGATAACAGACTATTATCGACTTTGTTTATTGTCCCATTAACGAATTAAGTATAATTAAATAAATTATAACACTAATTTTTACTGACCTTTCCCCTTGCGTTTTTTTTTACCGGAGACCTGGAGCGGTCGGAGTCTACAGCTCGTAGTTGTTCCATGATTTTTGGACAATCGCAAGACGTCATGGTCACAAAACTATTATAGTATCAACAATTGGAATATTATAAGATTCAAACAAAATATAATAATATAATATTATTATGTGGAATGTAAACAGAAATCGTAAAAATGAACGTACACGCGGGAGCACAGTTGCACGGACGAACACTGCTGAACACGGTGACGGTGATCATGTGTTGCTATACACAATACAGCTCACTACAAATGGCACACACACAATAACAACTGTACCATGATAGTAGTTACCTACACGGGCACACAATATCACGGTAATAATACAATGCACAGCTGCAGTTTCGTGGCAGAGGACACTAACCACGCTCGAAGTGGTGGAGGGGGGGGGCGTCTAGTGGTGGGAATGTGCCGATGCGACGAGTTTTGGTCGACCGAGCGGTTCAATCTTAGCGGTTCTCAACCTGTTATGGAATATAATAATATTGTTGGAATAATATATTATATATACCTAACAACTTAAGCGGACTGCCCACCAAATAATATTATGTTGTATATTGTAATATTTTTCATAGAATCCACGACTGTATGTCCACGGACCACGGCCTTATTTACAAATGCGATTTGAGATTAAAAGACAATGTACGAATATTACGATTTAACACGTTCACGCGTCTGCGTGTATTTAGAGGTCACTCCCATAGATAATAATATTATAAACATTAAAACATAATATTATGGTTATATAAGGTCTATCATGGGTCGCGTCTGCCGTTATTATATCAACGTAGGTACAACGGTGAAACATGTCGTTCGGTCACACTCGTATTGATAACACGTTCATGATAAACATAAAAATGCCGGGAAACGGAAAACAGCTGTTTTTCTAACACAGACTTGCATATACGTATACTATAATAATATTAGAAATCTATGTTTTCTAAATTTCTAATACACGTCATGCGCATACTGATTACTGAATGGTTATGCTAATTTATTACTAAATATTGTAATGATCACTCACCACCGTACAGCTAACCATTTTAGATAACATACAAAAATAATCGCTATAGGTCGTCATCGGCTGGTCGCACCCGATATCAACTGACGAGTGACGACTTTTATACCCATCGTCATTGGCTTTGGACTTTTGTATTATACACATGTCATACAATTATTGTATAAACTTTACAGGCAGCATCAAAAAAAAAAAAATGATTTACTTAATTTATTAGAAAATTAATTTTATATTTAAGAATATAATTTATTATAAATTGTGACTAGGGACAGTATATTAAATTTAAATTATTTGTAGTCACTAAGTATACCAGGATTGGTAGCCAATTATTCTTGTATAGTTGTATTCTTGTAGTTTTTAAAATGTTTTCTCAAATTATTAAGTCATTTGAAAGTTAGTGATAATAATATACAATAGTTGTATATTAACCTGTGTTCAATATCCGATAAATTAATAGGTAAGTACTGCAAGGTTCTATATGGTATATAAGTTTATTAGTATATTAGGTACTACCTAGTACCTAGTACAATACGTCAATACGGTATTATACAAACAAAATAACATTTCTACATAGGATTATTTAAAGTAAAATAGTGTAATATATCATATTATAATATGATATTGTGTTATGATCGTCATTTAAAATTTAATAATACACAATTCATAAAAAATAATAATAGTATGTACATTGTTTTTCAACAATAATATTAAGAAATTAATTTTCTTTTAACACTGAGAATAGTTGACAGCTATGAAATTTAAAAATCACTTGTAGGTACTATATAAGTTGTCAGCTGTTTAGGCTGTTGGAGCACACCGTATTTATTTTGTAGTTTTAGACCAATAAGCGGAAGATTAGTTTGTGTACTTCCCGATGTCCAATTATTATTTTAAAAATATGTATGAACTCGTCATCTTCTTTTCTAGGTTATGTAGGACACAGATTTTTGATTTTTGTATTCAATAAGGCTTTAAAAATATGTTAACATTTAAAAAAATTATGAAAATATTTTTATTTTATACACTTACATTCAGTTTTAAAACATCAATTACTTTTCCTACATAACCTAGTAAAGGGGATGATGAGTTCATACATATTTTTAAAATAATAATCGGACATCGGAAATCACATAAACTAATCTTCCGCTTATAGCTATTTTGTACCGATTTTAACGGTTTTTTTACTATAACACGATAATGGTCCAGATAATGGATTACACACACTAAGGTTCATTTACTACTCATACAATGACAAATATTTGCCAATAATATTTTTGAACAATTTCCTAAATTGTACTACTTAAAATATTCTATGCTCCAACAGCATAGAAAGGATTTTCTTATCTTATTACAGTTTTAAATGACGATCATAATATTATATTATTATATACCTAATGTAGATATTAAACTATTTTACTTTAGTCTTAAAATAAAATTATTGTTGAATAATTATGTACAATTATTTTTATTATGAACTGTGAATACTATGAATTATAAAATTTAAGATGTTAAACTATTTTACTTTAAATAATATTATTGTTATGTCTATGTGTATTTTTACATTTTAAATAATAATCATATTATTTGTGATAAATTGTTTCACTTTAAATGTGCTAATAAATAATACCTACTCCTATGTTTGTTAAATGTAATATATAAATATATTATAATGAAAATAATTGCAGAAGAAGGGTAAACATAGAGGCAACTTTATGTACTAATCTGAAAAATTCTTTACTGCCGAGATCCAATATCTGAAATTGTGTAGAGAACCACTGGCTTATTGACTATTGTATAATATTAATAATATTCTATTTTAGTTAAATAACGAGATACGAGAACAAAGAGTTTTGGGTTTTTACGTAAAAATTACTAGTATATCGGAGTATCAAGTATTGATATTATCAAAAAAGTGTGGACCACCCACCACTGAAAATTGTGTTCGTCTTTATTCTTAGACGATTTTACCTACCTATATAAACATTGAGTAGGTATATACCTATTTGAGATTTAGTTATTACCTACACCACAGTTGATACACTAAACATGGCGTAGTATTTTTTTTAAATTATAATGTCTATAATAAATTTTGTTCGGTCAAAAAACTCAAATATGTAATACAAGGTTCCCCATAAGGTGTTGTTGGAAATTAAAAAAAATGTTGAATGTAAATCCACAGTATTTTTTTATGATTATCTGAATTTAGAATTTTGATAAACTTCAAAAGAAATTCAAAAAAAATGTGTCAAATTCTATATATTTTTATAGTTAACTCTTTGAGGGGCGAAAATTTCCTTTGGAAAAAAGACCCATGTGGGCAATATGTCTCTTTACATGCTGTTTACCATAACATTTAGTACGTATATCAAAATATTGATAATGATAATAAATGATGAAAAACGCGGGAAATGATATCAGACCAGCGGCAGTGATATTGTTTGATGCATGTATAAGATGATAATAAGGTGGTTGGTATGCTGCCCACAGCCCACCATCAAAAAAATATTAAAAATAATTTTAAAAGTGGTTAAAATAGTAACCACCGCACCTGAACGGTAAAAAAAAAAGTGGTTAGCATACTAACCACGGCCCCTCAAAGAGTTGAGTATTGAAAATGAACTATCCGAAAGCGGAGTGGTCGATAACGTATACTAAATTATAATAATACAGCTTGGGAAGTTGGTTGGCAAATAACACTACATTGGTACCTATTAATAATATTATTATTGTAGGTATTATTAGTTATTAGGTATTTATTAGTTTTTGGTATTTTGGTCACTACTGTTTATACATTGTTCAGTTTTGTTGAGACTATGTCTATATTTTATATTTTTTTTTCAATACAAACCTAAAATTCTATCCTTAAAATTACTCTGAAAGAAGATTCACTTCATCCACGCGTACTCATGAACCACACAATTTTTTTTATATTTTGTCTTGATTTAGTTTTATATCGGTTGGTAGGGTTGGATTGGTTGAAAGGGTTTGTACGGTTGGTTGGCAACACGTGTATGTGTGGCAAGATTTTTGTCACTATGATAAGTGATAACCTGGGTGGTCACAAATCCGGGAACTAGTGGAAGCGGGTGGTACGAAGTACGTACTCTCATTCACTCTCAAACCACAGTTTTTTTTATAGTTATTTTAAGTTCAAATTTGGACGAAATTACATAAAAAACCTAGAATAACGATTTTAGTTTTGTGTTGTAATTTAAAAATATTATTCGTGGATACTTGAAACTTCTAAAATATATTGTTATATACAAATGTCAAATATGATGTATGCGGTAATATGCCAATAATATAAAATCTTCTAAACGGCTACCGTATATTAATAACTAGCTGGTCCTGCGCACTTCGTGGCCCGAAGAAAATGACGACCCTTAAAAAATTGTGATTGTTCAACTCTTTTTGGGTGTAGTAAGTGCAGTAAGTGCAACTCAGCCACCTTGGTAGGCAATATTGTGCTAAAATTCGATTTGATCCATGCTTGTACCTGATGTGCCCGATTAACCAATGGCAACCAATAATAAATAAATACTATTTCTATTAAGTATTTCTCCTATAACCAATAGCAACTATTTATAAACAAACGTTTCCACCGTAAATCTCAAAATCCCTGTTGGAGCCCTACCCCAGGCTTCTATTAATTTGTCGTAGCGTGATCTTATATAGCCTATAGCCTTCCTCGATGAATGAACTATCCAACAAAAAAATAATTTTTCAATTTATTCGAACCAGTAGTTCGTGAGATTAGCGCACTCAAACAAATAAACTCTACAGCTTTATATATTAGTTATATAGATAACAATATAAATATAATATTAAATATTTAAATATCCTAGGCCTCCCTCAGAATTGTTTAGCGTACCTATATTATATCGCTGAATTAAAAATTTAACACCAACCGTTACAGTGACCCACTTGTAACCTACTGTAGTACAGGAGAGCATAACCCACTTTTTTTTGTTGTGCTTTTGATAGTTAAAGCAAAAATATGAAGGCCAAACCGAGACATGTGAATGTTAAATGTAT